CCTCTCCCGGCTGCGCACCGGCCCCTTCGCGAGGGGGACCTGCCCCAGCGGCTGCCCGCGGGACTTTCGGAGCCAGCAGCGTGGGAGAAGGGGCGTCAGGAACGCCGAAGCAAACCATTTTCGAGGCACGGCCTGATGTACCCGCGGTACTGGGCAGTGCGATACAAGAAGCAACTGTCACCGCGCGGATAACCTAGCGCCAAGACTAGCCTCGCAGTGGTTTACTACTGCCACCCAGCATTTCTGATCAATTCTCTAACCGTCCTGTTTTTAAACGCTGAAAAAATGATTGGGTGGGTAACTGGACGGAAATGCAGAGTAATGAAACCAGGAGAGCCAGACAATATGTTAAAATACCAGCTCGACACCCAATTCCCTAATCCTTGCAGAGGCACCACTGTGTTTTGCACAATTCTGGCCCTTTCAAAAACTCGCCCGAGGGCGTTATTGTTATTATTATTAAAGATCCAGCTTGGTCAATATCGTGGACAAATTCACAGTAACGCCTCAATTAGTTTCTAGACGGAGCCTCATTCTGCAACCAAGCGCGCAAGCCCTCCCTCGCTCGCGGACGATCCAAGATTTGGACGCCCCCCTACCTTTCCGGTGGTCTGTCCGTAGAGCCCAAAGATCTCCCGCAGTTTCTCCTCGCTGATGGCCTCCGGTCTGTCGATTTTGTTACCCAAGATAAGGATTGGCACGTTGGATATTGTTTCATCTGTCATTAGCGCCTGCGTGCGAGATGGAAGGAGAGTTAAGCAGAGGCAGAAAAAACATTCATCGTTCGAGGAGAACGTTTCCGTTCCAGCTCTGTGACCAAGGAGGGCTGTTTTTTGGTGCTACAGTGCTCCTGCCGAAGAGGAGTCCCTCCGGAAAGCTTTCGCAGATGCAGGTCCTATCTAAACCCACGGGCCGTTTCAAAACTTCTTCGAAGGCTGCTCAAGAGCCTACGGTTGACCCACCGTAAGGGCAGGCAGCCTTCTCCAGCTCTGGGCGAGTATACCGGTAAATCCATACTGATCCCGTCCCTGCATAAGGTAAGGTGCGAAGGCCTATAAGCTCACGCCTTGGACACCGCATCGCTGGCGTAAAAGGTGCACCGACAGCGCAAATCCACAGCACGAGACTCTCAAAATGCGCCGCGCTCAAGTTCCAGCCCAAAAAAGAAGAATATTATTTCTAATTTAGCCATTCAGAGGTCTTGGGGAAGGGGGGGAAAAAAAAAAAAAAGCAGCACGTTTACGTTAAGCTCAACTTTGGATTCCATAAGACGCGAGTGATCTGCGCAGTCCACCAGGAAGACGATCCCGTTGATGGCCGGCAGGTAGTTCTTCCAGACCCGGCGAGCTGGAACACAGAAGCGACAAACACCGCCCTGTGAAAACGCTACCCGAAGTACGAGGGAAACTACACCCAGAAGCGGGAGCCACCCTCTTCGTTATGATCTCCTCAAGGCAGCGTAAGAACCTTCTGGCGAAGGGACCGGCTGAGGCCGCAAGCCGGGCAGCCCGGAGAGCCAGTTACACTCTCGCTGCTTTCCTAAGTAAGCCTCGGCAACCAAGGCTGCCTTTTTAGCCAGGTGTCTTTCTTCCAATATTTTTGTGTATTAAAAAAAAAAAAAAAAAAAAAAAAGGCAGAAAAACTTTTCTTAGACCTTCTAGAAAGTCTAAAAATAAAAATCCAGCAATTAATTCAAAAGAATAAGCCTACAACATTCAAGTCCTCCGCGGCTAAAAATATTTCAGGCAGCAGAGCATGAACTGGCAGCATTTTTTTCCAAACTGCCAGAATTAAGCACAAGTATTGAACGACTGATATGCTAGAGCCAGGGGGTTATTTCCACATATAGCTCCATAAATAATTTCGGGCGACCAATAATCAGGTACTGCCAATTGCTATCACTTTTCAGCATCGCGTTTTGGCAGGTTTTTCTTAAGATGGCCGGAGAACATCACAGAAATCAGAAAGTTGACCTCATTTTGGTGTCTCCCACTCAGCAACGTCACTTTTACCTTGTTCATGTCCACCCAGATCAAAAGTCGTAAAGGTCATTCCAGCAATCGTCAGCTCCTCTGATGCTGAAACATAAAAATACAGGCTGTGTTGCAGGAAAATAAAGAAGCTGCCACGGACAGGATTTCTTGGGGACGCTTGTGAACACCACACACGCTCCTCGTATAAGATATCCTGTAGAATTCAGGAATTCCCTGAATTTCCTGTAGAATTCAGCCACTGAAACGGAGTCGTTTCACACAATCACGAGCGGCAGAAAATAATTTGTCCGACCTCCTTACTTAAGCACAAGCTTATTAACCTGCATTACACTTCGTACTTTTCGTTAGAAACCCACTCCCTCCCCAAGACAGGCACGTCATGTTGATTGAACCACGCCAGTTCTCGGGCTCTCCATTTTATATTTGAGAGGAAAACGCAAATCCACTTCAGCTCGGGCAACCAACGTGCAACTGCAGCCTCAGATGCAGTTTTAAGACTCTTAAAAGCCCGTCGCCCCAATGCAGAGCTCTCGCTGAGGCGTCTTCCAACACCCTGTCCCCAAAATTGGAGAGGTAAAAACCACGCCACGAGGCAGGCGGGGCTCAGTCGCTGGCAGACTTACTGGGATGTAGCGTCGGGACGTGCTGACCCAGCCTGTCGTCTTTGAGCATGTGCAGCAGAGTGGTTTTGCCTGCGTTATCCAAGCCCAGGAACACAAGTTTTCCAGACTTCTTGTACAAACCTGGAAGGAAAAAGAAACAAGGAAGAAAAACTCCAGCAGGCTTACCTCGGCACGTGAGCAGAAACGCTGCGGCGCTTGCTGCTGTTTACATACGAACCCCTCTCCCAGAGCTACGCTGCCACCCGTGCACTGCCAGCACTGCCAGCACGGACACACAACAGCAGGGAAAAAACAGTACAGCTTGGAACTGGCTTTTACCACGGCAGCGCAAGGTAATGCCTACAACAACGGACACCCTCTAAGCTCGTATGTCTGTGGGTAACCTGTTCTTTTCTCAGATACATCCTAACAGAAGAGCGTGCAGCCGAGTGTTACTTATGTGCGACGGGTTACGGATCAATCTGTCGCCCCAAAGGGGTGTTTAAACGTGAAAATTTCATAAACTCATAGAAGACAGCAGCAAGTTGTTGAAGTGCAAAGCTCGAAACGACACATCATTTTCTTTAGATAAACTGATTTTTTTTCCACTTCCAGGTATGCATCTGCTGCAGGAAAGTTCCCTTAGCTTTCCAACAGGACTTTTTCTCATCCCTCCCTACCCCTCGCGAGGCGCTCCGGACAGAGAGCACCCTGTCCTCCAGCAAGGACCTCCGCTGGAATTCACGACCCTGGCAGGAGGCGCTTCGCCACTGCCCGCACCTCAGGAAAAGGGCTGCCCGCGCCGTGGTGAAGCAGCCAGCCCAGCTGCGCAGATCACCCTGGATTGGGCAATGCTTTGGCTAGCACCCCCACAAAGAGCCTTCAACCCGGATCGCGCTGAGGGCGTTAGTCAGCGGCCAGCAGCTCCCCCAGGCACGCCACGGTGGGTAATGGGACAGGAGCATTTGAGAAGAAGCAAGCCAGCCAGCTGCAGCAGCGAGAAGTAAGGGTGAACTCTGGCGGAGCCGGTGAGCTGGGACACCAGGAGGAGGAGGACGGGGTTCCCTCCCTGGCTTAGGCAGCACGTCTGCCCGGGGCAGGGCGCGGGGTTAAACGGGCCCCTGGCATCAGCCCAGCTGCTCTCGCGCTTCTAAACAGCAAGAGAAGGATTGAGCGGGAGCCAAACGCTTCCAAATTATTCTCAAAGCTCCTCCTCCGAGTGTAAAAAAGCCTGTATTGATTTGCAGCTTTCTCGCCAGACTTTATACTAGTCAGAGCACACTCCAAAAGAGATGCGCTTTAATTGCTAACTTCTAAGCGATCTCGGCAATTGGCACAAGCCAAACTGACCTAAGGGCAGCTCCTGCAGCCTGAGCGGAGCTGTTTAAGAACCAACGTAACGCGGCATTACCTAGGAACTGCAGCACGCTGCTGAAGCCATTGTAGATCCATTCGAAAATGAAAGACATCGCTGAAGATTAATCGCCTGCGTGGACAAAACCAAAACCGGAGTTACAAG